TAGTATAGTAAGATAGGGGCAAACGAGCGTCGGGAACATCAGCATTTATATGACGTTCAGCCAGGAGACATAACCTAAAATTTAGTCGCCACAGCCTATATTCTTAGCATAGAAACGTAAAATTGTAAAGACTTTTTACTAAGAATTAAAGGAAGTAACGATAAATATTTATTACATAGCAAATTCAATTTCCTGTTTATTCAATGCAATGCAAACATAAAACAATGTTAGCCAATCAATCGATCAGGTCAATTCGATTGCGAAACATTTGCCCAATCGGCAATTCCCCGTACACTATAAGTTCCGCGCTTTATAGCCAACAAACTCCACTATAAAAAAATAACAACTTCCTCCCACGCTGTCGTAAACAGGTAGGAGTTGTGAATGATTGCGTTTTGTTCACGTGTTTCTTATTTTTATGATTGAAGCACGAGATCGAACATCTTACTTGAAACAAAACTATCGAACTATTTAGTCATCATTCACTTGCCCTTATCCCTTACTTGGGTGGGCACGTTATGTGCTGCTCCATACATCTCTATCAGCCGTCATATCTGAATCTACTCCTTTCTTAAGCATATCCTCTTTCATACAATCCATCGATACTTTCTTCCATCCACATTCAGTCTTAACACTTTCTGGTCATACAACTATTTAGTCTCGCTTTGATTCCTATCACTTTATATGGAGGCGCACTATTCGAGTTTTAGTACCATAGTTCAGCTGCAAAACAATCGACAATCGCACAATGTGTGCCAGGTCTAAATTGAAAATATGCATGCTAGTAAAAAGGGGTAGAAGCTGATATACCAGTTGAACCTACGAGAGTTTATGAGTCAAGACGCGTCAGTTCTAGCTTTTTAACTCTTGAACAACACAACTTATATGCACGTAGCTGTCACAAAATCAAACATCAGGCTAAACTCCAGTGACTGGCATAGCTAGGTACAATTTTTATTTTATACTAGCTTTCGCCCGCGACTCCGTCCGAGCGAATTTAAAATAAAACTAAAATGAGTAGCCTATGTGTTCTTCCAGACTATCTGCGTCAATACCAAATTTCTTCAAGATCCGTTTAGCTGTTTAGGCTCGAAACTCTAACAAACATGCATCCATCTAAACTTTCGCATTTATATTAGTAAGATGTATGCCGGGTTAGCGGTTACATATTTCTAGAACCTAGCATATTAAGACAGTCACTGGGATGTATAATCCAGGCATCAAAGTTACATCGTGTGTACTCGACGTAACTTTTTTACAGTTACGAAGTACAGACATCACAAGCTGTTTGCGGACAGGCTTTCTGTTGCACAGATAATATTTAGGTCGCCAATCTACAAATCGTTCATCCCACGCTCCGGATTCCTGAACGCGGTCTTTGTAACTATCGATTACTTTTTAATCTGTTGCGACAAATGTCTTTTAAAGTGTAGAAGCTAGACGGAAATTGATCGACATTTGTTCTAAATGTTTCTTTTTTATAATATAAGGTGGCAAACGAGCAAGCGGCCACCTGAATCTGCCGAAATGGAAAGCGACCGCTGCCCATAAACATCCGCAATTGCAGATGCGTTGCCTACCCTTAATTGACGGAGCAGGAGACGTACGTAAAGAGGACATTTCCCCTTTCTATGCGTCTCCTCACCGTCAAATCCACTTTTCTTTCCCATCCTTTCCTGTTAAGAAAAGGGTGGAAAGGGAATTTGTAACCACTAACTAACACAACAGTAATCAACAGGGTGTCCCTGAAGAGGAAACTTAGAAATTTGTTATAATAGGTAAGATTTTTTGTTGCATTTACATCTTATATTCTTTTTTATTTGGTTTTTACACAATTTTTTTCTTTATTTCATTGTAATTTTGCATGCTATTTTATATAAATGTTTAAAAGGTGTGACGCCTACAAACCACGTAAGAGACATATGTATCCGTATTATAATATTTTGGAAATAAAGAATTAAAAAAAATTGAGCTCTAGACTTGAGCTAGGAAATGGTTTTATATACCCTGTCTATCCCCCAGAAGTACCTTCTGAAGTTTTACCCCCGATAGCAATGAAAAATAAAACATCTTACCTAAAAAATCCTATTATAGTCCATAAAAATATTTAATTTACGACTTTATGTTATAAGGAAGGTGGACATGGTAACGAGAAATATGTGTCACTTTTTCCCGCCAACAGCCCTTTGCTACACAGACTATAAATAACAGAACAATAAAACTTCATTTTTAAGTCGCAGGAACTTAAACATTTTTCTAAATTTAGTCATTTATTTTAAAACCGATCCTCGACTGTACTAAATAAAAACAAAACACTATAAATTTCATTTTATAGTTTCTTGCGTCAACCTTACTCGAGTCCCATGTGGTTTTTAAAAAGCGATAAAAATGTGCGGCCATATTTTTTAATCTTTTTTTTTTTCAACAGTAAACAGTTACACTATTATTAACTGCCATTTTTACCTCAGCTTTAATTTATCATGCTTTTTAATATTGAATTAGAGTTATATAATATAGCATGATTGTACAGTGTGCAAAAAAGTTTTTATCTTGATAATAATCAAATAAGACTTTTAAGTCTGATAATGATTTATCATTAATATTATAAATGCGAAAGTTTATATAGATGTTTGTTAGAGTTTGTACCCTAAGCGGCTGAACGGATTTCGATAAAATTTGGGATAGATGTAGAGGATAGTCTGGAAGAACACATAAGCTATTCACTTTTTTTTTAATCGGAGTCGCAGGCAAAATCTATTAATATATGAAGCAGTGTTGCTTGCTATACTACTAATAAAGTCCGTGCATACATGTGCATGTGTTATTTTATCAAAAAGCGGGTAAAAATACTCCAATAATCTTTATGAATACATTAAAATGACGCTTATCGTAATATTATTGTGTGTGTTATCATCCAAATTGCCCATTTAGGTGTTGGCAGAGGTCAAGGCGCGCGATAAAGTTACTAAAACAGATGGCGCCACTGTCTGTGGACATAACAAGAAAACTCTAGGAACAAATTGGTTTATATTAAATTCAACAAACCTCTACGTGCCAACGACTTGAATAGTTTTCCAATACTAGTCTTTCAGTTTTATTGCAATTGCTAAAGATTCTTCCATTTACCAGTGACCTAAATACATAATACAGAACAGAAAAAAAACAAGTCGGTAAATAAATTTAGACTGACCTTTTTTTCATTAGACTAACATAGGCTACATTTTTACTACTTTTTATTTTACGCGTGCGAAGTCGCAAGCTACAGATAGTAAATTATAAAGCCATGGTTAAGCTAAAACTTCGTATTCTCTAAAGTCAAATAATTGAGATGCTACTAAATAGCAGCGCTCAATAGCTGGACTGGTCAACTGGCTTAGTGAATACTGGCGTCAGTCCCTACAAACTATAACTGGCTATTGCAACTGGCCAAGTGTGAACCGCGCATAAATTGTAACATTTTATTAACATTAATACATTAATTTATATGACAGAATATTCATTCTGACCGTTGAGGCCCAACTTTAGTTCCTTTTCCTTCCCATCCTTTATCTTATAAGAAGAATATGGGAAGGGAACGTTGATTTGACGGTGCAGAATACGCATAGGAAAGGGAAATATCTTTTTTATCTGCTTCTCCTGCGTTGAATGAATGTAGACAACGCATCTGCAATTGCAGATGTAAGCAGCGGTCTACGCCAGTTTAGCAGATTCAGGCCGCTTGTTCGTTTGATTCCTTATAATATAAAAAAAGCATATCTCATTGCAAGCAGTTACACAACACTATCTCGTAGCAGACGTAAATAACCGATAACGTATATCTCGTAGTTTCTTTGTTATAGCTTTGTTTTTTTTTTTATCACAATCATTTCGATAAAGGCAAAGGAATTTTTTTACACTTCAAATTAATCCACGGGCATGTGTAATGCCACTCAAATATTTGCCGCGTAATCAATTGGACAGATCTATGTATTTTTACATATATTTTACGCGATTTACATTTTGTATTAGCTTCTGCCCGTGACTGTGCCCGTGTGGAATTAAAAAAGTAACCCATGTGTTCTTTCAGACTTTGCTCGCCAAATTTAATCGATTTCCGTTCAGCAATTTAGGCTAAATATTCTAATAAACATCCATCCAACTAAATGTTTGCATTATTAGTTTTAAAAAGTTTTGTATTAAATGTTATGATAAATCCTGTATTCATTTTTACATTTTATTTACAGAATACAACAATTTGAATTTAATATAAATATAATTCTATATGGAAAACACATTAATAATATCCATTTTTGATTTACTCAATAACGAAATAACCATAATATTATGGACTTTTTTTAGTTATTCAGCTGCATAATTCAAAAGAAATGCCTTACCTACACATGTTACGTTATTTTATACTCTGTGGGCCGGATTCTCAATGATCACATAACTTCTATGATAAAATCTCCCGGAGTAAATGTCAAAAGATATGAATGAAATACCTTTTGACGTTTCTATACAGCATATTATTTTTACTAGCTATATTTTTGGGGAATGACAGAGGTCGTTTGGTTTTGCAGCCACGAAAAAGATTTTTTTTTCCAAGAACTTGTTGCACGAAATGAATTAAAAATCTAATTAAAGAACGTAGATAATTAAACTGGTGTGTTAATTTCACTAAAATTAAGTTCGTAATTAACTTTTATTTAGCATAATTTACCCCAAAATTAGTCATATTAGTTTAATAATTACTTACGAGAAATAAATAATAGTTAATCCAATTAGAAATTTATTCAGCTAAATATTTTACATATTCCATGTATGATGAATTAATGATTTTAAATTCATATTTAATGTTTATAGTTAATGGAACCAAACTGAACTGTCAATAACTGCATCCCGTTTAACGGTTACTGTACACTAAAATATTTTTATGACATAAACATATAAAATAAATAAACAGACATGCGACCGGCTTGCAATCAAAATATTAATAGAACCATGCAGGTTATAAAACTTACCAAAAAATAATACGATGCGACCGATTATTCGGACGAAGAGAACATTTTCCAAAATCGCCCTTTTAAAAAACACAACACTAACACGTTCGAAAATTAAAAACAAAAAACGAAAAATAATCGTAGAAATGCACGTCAAAAATAATCGATTCGTTAAAAAACAAATGTCAAATAAAATAGTTCGTGGCGCGTCTTATATTTCGAACGTTCGAATTCGAAATTCAAATTTAAGCGGGTACGTTCATAAAGCGCGCGATGCGGTCGCGGACTGAACGCACTTTGTTGAGGGCCCAACGCGCCGGCCGTACAAAGTACAAACGTTCCAACATCGTTTGTTGACGTTGGCTTATTGGATATTGGCTGTTGGAAGTTGGCTTCCAATATGCAGTAGCTGAATGGCTAATCGGAAAAGTATAGTTAATGTTATAATTCCTTATTAGCATAATTAGATTAGAAGTTGTTTGAGAATATTTTAACATAAAGTTCAAGGGACATTAAGATCGTTTTGCATACGATGCGTTTACATACACATTTACAACAGTGTATTCGTATAAAAATTTTAATTAGATCACAAAACTTGTAAAATTAATTATCTATATTTTCAATTAACATACACACTTTTTACCTTTAATTGTATTGGCCGGTAAACAATATTACTTTATTTATAAATTCTTTCATTAAACTTTTAAAAAGGCGAGTTTATCGTATTGTAGGTAACTTTAATCTACTCACCGTAAGATGGCGTTAAATTCTTCTGATCTTGTGTCATGCTACTAGATAATAGATGGCGTAATATTCGCATTTGGAAACAAAATTTTTATTAAGATTTCTTCCAATAAATATCATGTGATTCATTTTAATACATTGTAAATATATAATGTAAGTTAGTTATTACAATATTTTATATATGTATAATAATAAACGCTGAGTCTGAAAACCGACCTTTGTTCACTTTACTCCGAATTTGTAATTAAGATTTTTGAAGATTATGGTTTTTAAGATAAGATAAAAACTTATGTTTTTCTCACGATCATTAAACTCATTCTCAGAATAAAGAATAAAAAATCTATAGATAAAATAGGTAACATTTGAAGAATAGCTTGGGAACTTATGACAGAGAACAGTCAACCAGAAAGAAAAGAATAAAAAAAGAACTTTTTTAAATGATATTCTGAAACATTTAAATTCCTTACATTCATCTCTTATTTATTGAATAATAAAAATGCAATAAAGTTTAATTCATTCAGCGCTATCTAATCCGTGAAACAGTTTTTTTAAGAAGAAAACTGTTATTTTATCATACAAAAAACAAAGCAAGAACATACTTTCTATCTCTTTCTAAAGCAAACCAGTCAATAACTGTACATTGTAAATAACACGACAAGGTCGCATACATTAAAATCCTTCGACAAAAACATCTGCGCTGTAACTCGTTTGTTGTAATTATACATTACTAAAGTTATTTCATTTCTTACTAACATAAATGCAATTTTTTTTATGTATGGATGTTCTATATGAGAAAGAAAAACTGTAGGGTTGTAGACTTCTCAGGGTTCACATTATAATAGTTTACCAATAGACGTGATATTATTGTAGCTTCAATATATTATATTTCATTTTATAAAATATTTTACAATCTATCCATCAAATAAATTAAAATAAATCCCAATAGAACTGACATAGATTGATTAATAATTTGATTAATGTTGTTATTTTAAAAACGCCTCACGACTGCACGTGACGAGAAAAAAACCGACGCCATTTTGAAAATTAAATTAGTCTATGCTTTTACATTAATCAAATGCGAATGAACAAATACATTTATAGTTTGTTGGATACAATTTTTCCGTTGTGTTATTTTTAAAACCTGTTTCTGATACATTTTGGTCAAATGAAAATTACATTATCTACTATCTCTACAATGTTGTAAAAAAATGTATACATTGAAACTTTTTTATAGCCGTCAAAGATATTTGTATCTAGAAAAAGTATGGTATGTACAGTCGGGAAAACTGGCAGTATTCCACCTTGAAAACTACTATCATATTTTTATTATTATTATTATATAAAAATTGAAACGAGACGCGCAACGGAAACCAATACAACGCAGCTTCTAAATGTATCTTTACGAAGATTATTCCCAACCGTCACCCTAGTCTGTCCCCACGTGAGAAAAAGTTTCATCCGTCCCACCTTTTAATCCCATCACCAATAAGGTGACAGATGGAACCGTTATGAAATAAGTTCCAACCGTCCCCTCGTCGGAAAAGGTGGGACGGATGAAACTTTTTATTCTCATCTGTCTCCACGTGGGGACAGAGCGGGGTGACTGTTGGGAATAATAAAAAAAGTCGATAAGTGATACACGGCTAATTTTTTTTAACTCACAGTTATCTAATCAGTTATTTGTAGAAAGTGGCGGAGTTTGTATTGTATATCTGCAGTAAGTTTTGTTCGTAGAGTTACGGTCATAATGACGAGCCGGCATTAAGTTTGAATGGCATTATACTTATTACATGACCGGTTTATTACGTAAAGGGTAGGTTGCGGTTAAGTTATACTTATGTTAGCTGCGGCGAATTTGCGTTACCGCACTAGCTTAGTCCAATGTCGCGCTAACTAATGATTTATGTAACGCTAATAAATTCTAAAAACTAATGGACGTTTATAATATACATTTAATAAAGGCCGCTGTTTGGTCTTTTATAGAAGGACTAGATGTTCCCCTGCGACTTCATCCGCATAAATTTATGAAAATTTTATTTTATTGTTTACATATGTCAAATTATCAATTGCAAATGTCTAAATGACATGACTCTGACAAACCATGGCAATTTTGCTTCCTTAATGTTGGCAGCAACTTATGGCCTCTGTCCCACATTAGGGTATTTATCCAAAATATTTACCCCCTAAGTTTAATGGCGTGAAAATATATAGCCTATAGCGTAACGTAAGTGTAGGGGTTATTATTAAAAAAAGAATTGTTCAAAAATATGCTGTAATTGCTGACATCTTAGGCAACAAAGAAGTGTGTGTTTAGGCTGTATTATAATAGTATAGAAGTATAGATATGACTCAAAAGTCAAAAGTTCGTAAATTTTTATACCTTCATCACGCTTTATTTCTGTGTGTTTGAATTACATAAATTTTATTTTTAATTTCCCGACCGTCTGTTATCCACAAAAATACCTACATTTAAGTACAACAGTCTTTTGTTTATTGTATATACGGATTTATATGAAAGTACACTTTACTTTCAAACTTAGACATGTCTCATTTGACATTTCAAACTTGTATTGAAAATGCATGAAAAACTACAACAATGCACAATAGAAATGAATTTCCGAGACTTGACTATGAATAATCACAACGAGGTTATGACTGGAGTAGAATATTAGTTAAAACTAGAATGTTAATTAAAAATATCAACACTAACATTAGTACATTATCTTACTAATCATAGTAATATTATTAACTAGCTTTCGCCGGCGACTCGACTATGTGTTCTTCCAGACTATGCTCTACATCTATGCCAAATTTCATCGAGATCCGTTGAGCCGTTTAGGCTACAAACTCTAACAAACATCCATCCATATAAACTTTCACATTTATAATATTAGTAAGATTAGTAAAATAAAATAGTTTAGATGCATGGATGATTGTTAGAATTTGTAGCCTAAACTGCTAAACAGATCTCGATGAAATTTGGCATAGATGTAGAGGATAGTCTGGGAGAACACATAGACTATAAATTAAGTTTTTATCAAGCCTCGGATTTTTGTCATATGGCAATTCAACACCCGAATTATTACTTCAATGGTTAAATATAGATTTAGTATTTACTGAGAGTGTTAATAATCGATTTCTTAAAATTTTCTAATAAAATTTCACAATTACTCTAAATTCGTATTTAATTCCTAAATAATAAAGCTTTCAAAAGCATTACAAAAATGTTTATTAAAAGAATTTTCACAAAGCATTCCAAAGGTAACCTGAACTATGCTTCCTTTGTCTGCCCTTTAAGAGACCTCAAATGTTTCGCAATCCAGTCGACATAAGCCCTAAACTATTCTAGAACTTTATCCAGTATGAAACATCCACAAAGGAATTCCCTGTAAGTCATCTGAGGTATTTCCTACAAAGCCTTTAAACTAATAAAATCTAACAATTTCCTATCTTATTACAGAGCAATAAAGTTTATTATCGCAATTGTAAACATAAATATCTTTTATCGCTAAGACATACAAAATACGACTTTATATAAACGACATAAGATGTATTTTGATAACATAAACTTCCGTACATTTCTATTTATACTACATTTGATATTGTAACTTATTATTAAAACATTACGACTCTATTTTCAAGTAACAAGCGTACCAATACAATTCATTACCAATACAGGCATTTTAATTTAAGCAAAATTGAACTTTATTGAAACACAATAAGGAGTTTGTAACAGCACAAGAATTTATAATGCAGGTAAAGTTGTAAGAGTCATCCTCGCAAAAAAGGTTCAATGAAGAATTCTTCGGTTCAATGTTTTACCAGCAGGTAAAATTCTTCAAGAATACTGGCATGTTATTTTTTTATTGTTGGACGCTTTTATAGACGCTATATTTAACCAGTCACGTTCGTCTTATTTCTTAGTTACTGATATTATAAATGCAAAAGTTTAGATAGATTATTAGCGTTTGTTGCCTAAACGGCTGAACGGATTTCAGTTAAATTTAGTACAGATGTAGAGGGTAGTCTGGAAGAACAGATAGACTACTCACTTTTATTTTTTTATTCCACGCGGACGGAGTCGCGTCCGAAAGCTACGTACTAATATTATAATCGGGGAAATATAGATGGATAGATGTGTGTTCGCCTTTGTAGCCTAAACCACTAAACTGATCTCGATGAAATTTACCATAGATGTAGAGGATAGTTTGGGAGAACATATAGTCTACTTGCTTTTGTTTTTTTTTTTAATTCCATGCTCACGGAGTCGTAAACGAAAGCTAGTAGTTCACTAAGGAAGTCCCTTACGTTGATTTAGGTGAATACACTTTGACGTACTCACAGTCAAGTCCCTAAGTGTAGTAATATTATGATGTAAAAGACTAGAATGAGTTATACTGTTTTTAAAAGCGTAATAGTTAGGTTCTGTTTAAGATTTTTATAAAGACAACACTCGCTCGTTTAAAAGTATAGAAACCGATTATTTACTCGACAAGAAAAATCTACCTAAAACATTTTAAAACATACGTGAACAAAATTAAG